ATCCCGGTTTTATATTATTAAAAAGTACCTCTCGCTACGCAATAAGAGCGACCCCTATTTCAGTACCAATCACTATCCACGGTACAACGATTCTCCAAAGCAACAGTAGCCACGTGTCAAGTTTTATTAAAAAAAGAAGCAATCATCCGCTTAGAGGCACTTTGCACGCGCGCCACTTTGGTTGGTTTCGGCTCATGTCGAAAGACCCATACGCTCGATTGCTGCTTTGTTTTGGGATCGTAACTATAAATCCATATTTCGTCACCTGTTACTATGTCGCACACCAAATTTGACGCCCCTTTGTTGAATCTGGTAAGCGTGGCATTGCACCAAGTGACGCGATCCGTTTTTGAGCCTCAGTGAAGTTGTGTGGGATCCACCGAGAGCACAGCTTTTTTAACCAATTTCTAAAATGACGCCATAATGTAAAAACAAGTGACAATCAGATGAAACAAACTGTATTCTACAGCCGAAGAGTTTCATTTTCAAATGTTGTAATTACTTTTTAAATATTGTTTATGTAAGTGGCCAGTTCGGGAAAGTTATAGTGCGCCCTATGTATCGCTGCCATTTTTATGTAATGAAACGAAGCGTCCTTGGCACTTGAATCGTTTCTGTAGGTCACCATGGCATTTTGTTAACTAATTTAATACATGTTGAAGAATCAAGTGTGTATGTTATAAGACAGAGCATCAAACTGAGGAGCCGTTTGGTGATATACAATTTTTTTTAGAAAGTAATAAAACAGATTACATGTGAATGTTGGATAGGTAATCAGTTCATTAGATAATATTTTATCTTTCTTCCTGATTCACTCCAGCATGTGGCGTCAATTTTTGGTTTGATTCACTTACTTAAATTTAAAATTTCGTTATAGAACGTGTAATAGTGTTAAATCCTATATGTAATTCTGTTTATGCGCCTCATGTTCCATTCACCTTGACAGAATAGAACCTTTTGTTAAACTTTTCGCATAATTGTTAAGTAAACGTTTTGAGCTTAGTTTTATAAGAACGGTGTATCATCCCTAAGCATAAATCAATACCTCCAATGAACACTGACTACTAACTAACTAACTTAATTTTTTGTCATTTTTTGATATTTTTGTAACCATATTTATTTACTAATATTATGTTCAGCGAATTTTATAAAAAAAAAATAAGAAAAAAGAGAGAAACTAATATTGGAAAAAAAAGAAACAAAAAGCAAAATAAAAACAGAACAGGTCCAAAAATTAAGTTGACGTAGTGTTCGTTGGAGGTATCGAAATAGAGAACACACAAAACCAAAGTTTATTTTTTAATTAGAATGTAAGCGCAACTCCAGTATCGATTAAAACGACCCAATTTCCTTGAGAGGAAAAGCCTTATAAGGTCGTCTATGGCTATGCGTAAGTAGTACGTTACGGGTTTCGATCCCTTGCAGTCCTGTTTTCCCATAACTGGGTGTGGGGTCGACGACCGACGGGGAACTGGGTCACGCGCCTTGACGGGCCTATTTATAACACGATGGACTAACTTTGACAACACGCCAGGCTTGCCGCTGCCTGCGGCTTCGTCTTGCGCCCACCTTATCCGTTGTGTTGGCACTTGGAATTTAGAAGGTTTCTTGCTTAGCTACTTATGGAACTTAATTTTAGTAACCAGCCATTTATTGGGTAATACATGCTTAGGTATTGGATACTTTATATATGAATTCTATATCGAACTCACAGCGATTTTTCTGTGTTCAGACGCCCGCCGGCACAATTTCGGCTTCCAATACATAATTACGTACGCTACCACAACTTAATTTTTTTTTACATTGATATCATATTGTCACTGCTTTGCAATCTCCTACGTGTAACTTGAATACCTTAATGCACTATGCATATTAGGTAAGATATCTCTCATGATATCATGATCAAAGTTCAAATAGAATAAGTCGCAGAATTCGGGTTAATTTACAGCACCAAGCTTTGTTGCTCCCTTTATAATATTGATCGCTCATTATATGTACTCATTGGAGCCAGCAATAATATTATGTTATACTGCAGTTTGTCACGTACGCACATGGCTTATCATGACCACACACATCGCTCAATGCAGTCGTTGTGACTAGGCCCCGCTAAGCGTTTGTTTTTTTTATTGTAAAGAACACGTTTTACTGTACTTTTGACAACTTACAGTATGAGACTACCTGTCTATATCACAAAGAAGCACAAGCAATCTAAATTAATGTTGAATTACGAAGTGTGCAATCGCTTTTGATAAAAGAAAATTGTATTAGATAAAAACAAAAATTTGCCGGTTATGGTGTGCTAATCATTATTACTACTTATATGTAGTGTATTTGAAACTAAACAAAAAAAATTAAAAACATTTTATGAAAAAAATTATTTTTACTTATACGTAACAAACAATATGTGTAAATTACATATTTGTAATACATATGGCAGCTATGTTTTTAGCTCCGAAAATAATTTAATTTACGTAATCTTATCGCCAAATATATTATTGTTCAATTATCTTATATATTATTATTTATTCCCACTCTTCAAAAACTCATTTCAGAATTAGATTTTACAAAGACTGCAGTGAGCACTTTCATTAGGGGTGCGGTTGGCTCTGACCGACGATTATAATAAGCTATTCCGGTGGCCGCTTTCCACCCAATCAAGGTGACATTGCAGATTATCTATCAGAAGGATTTATCTAGAAAATATCACCAACTAAATTGCGCTTAATCCGTTGGCACAAAACCTTTCGCTAACAGAAGAGGATATTTTCAAATGAAATGGATTCATATCTTTAATCCAATACAAAATTTAATTACACTTGGCATTAATAAAGTTTCTTCCTAAAACTCCTTGTAATACTCGTCTCTTTATTTAAATCCAATTGATTGATTCTGCAGCGTAATTTGCTATTTGCGTTAATAATTTTAATGAATAAAGTAAAATAAAAAATTAAATGAATATAATAGTAAAATCAACTGAGGTTCCATTCCTACAATAATAGTCAATACGGAAGGGTAACGATCCGCCAAATACTTCCGTGAGTATCCAAGTGGCTAACGGTGATTGACCCAAATGATGTGAATGAAGAAAGCGGCCGCTTCGTTGGTTTAGCTGCAGAGTTATAGTTACAAGCTGCTCTTGGATGGGATCGCCGCCTGTTGGTATGTCCGAAGGCTACAATGCCCGATTGCCTGGCTTGCGATTGATTGGATGGCTTTGGAACTTGCAGTGGAATAGTATATATGACTGTAGCATGTTAATCTTGTAGGTGTATAATTAATTACACATGACTGACTGTATAATTACTTACGCGCGACTGCATCGATGCAACCGCCTGTGAATCCCAAGTGTAGCGATGCAATCGCGCGTTTGTATCGATGCATTCACGCGCTCGCACCGCGTTTTCATCACTGCTTAAAACCGCGCGCGTGCGTAAAGGTAGACGATTATTACCGACTGCATCGCTACTGTATCGCGTTTGCGTCGCTGCTAAAGTCGCCGTGTGTAACCGCTCTTAGAGACATGTACCTTATGTATCAAAAAA